TATATATATATATATATATATATATATATATATATATATATATATAAATAAACTGAGAGAAAGAGAGAGAGAGAGAGAGAGAGAGCTTGTTCACAATTTTCTGTATACTCGAGTAAATATAAATTTTTAACTATGATATAAAGTTATGAAAATATATGATAAAACAATAAAAAAAAAAACAAAATAAAATAAATAAATGACGAAAATAATGTAATGAGAGTATACATGTGACATAAACAATCGTGCGTGATAATATTCACCGATAATCTTTTACACGAAAATTGTTGACGTTTGGAGTTATCCATAAGCGTATCACGGTTCAATTAATCTAATATGTAACAAAGTGCAACACGCTGCCTTGCTGAACAGTACAAGTACAAAACGAATACAAATACATAAAACACGTCTTCGATTTAATGAAGGGAAAGAATTCTGGTAGTTAAGATATTAAAGAAAAAAAAATTGTTAATCGTAAGGAAATAATGACGGGATAAAAGTAAAATGGTGTAAAATGAAGTAGACGATGTGAAGAGAAATCTCCGTACATAAGGGCGACGTTCGCCATTCTGTAGATTAAAGCTCAGTAAGGAAAAAGCTGACACGCGGCGTCATGCGTTCGTCATAAAATACCTCAAAAGCTGCCGCAAGTCTCGGGTGCGCTGTTACCTAGTGTAATGTGTTTGATTCGCGAGGCCGGACGTCAGTCGTTCTCTATTCGCATATAGAAATACATAATGTACATTGCGTCCCTTGACTAGATAACACAAAACTAACTAAATAAATAAATAAATAAATAAGGAAAGAAAGACAGAAATTAATAATAAAAATAACAGATTCTCGTCCAAGCTCTCGAAAAGCGCTGCACTTGCGCGTGGTTTCGCTCAACACTGCCAAAGCAAACTTTGTAAAGACTCTTTAACCGTATCAATGGGGATACGATACAAACTGACGTTCACCTCACCCGTATTTCCACGTAATTATTGTCAATCGAGCGAACGTAGCTTATGAAAGCAGAGCCACTTTCGCGAAGGAATGAGAGTCTTTCACGACCGTTTTACAAGTCATCTGTTCGACAGAGAGAGAGAGAGAGAGAGAGAGAGAGAGAGAGAGAGCATCTGTGTGTGCGTGAATATGTATACATGTGTGTCAGAGAGAAAGAGAGAAGGGAAGAGAAGAAAATTTGCAATTGGCCGTGACAAGGGTCGACGTTCTAGTTAGCAAAACGAGTAGTCTTTGCCACTTCGAGGAGGAGAGAGAGAGACATCGACGAAAGGGCTCGACAGAAAATGGAACGAGCAGAAGAGCACGCGAGTACGAGAGATGTATGGATAGATAGATAGATAGATAGGTAGATAGAGAGATGGAGAGATGGAGAGATAGAGAGAGAAATATAGAGTGAAAGAGAGTGAGAGTGATAGTGCGAGAGAGATAGAGAGAGAGAGAGAGAGATAGAGAGAGAGAGAGAGAGCGAGAGAGATATGCTTAAGAGAGTGGCGAGGGTGCGGTCGCGTGGTGAAAGGGAGCGTGGCTCGCCCGATTGGCACAAGCGGCAGCTTCTCATTTTAAGCTACAATAGTTGTTGTACTTACGTCTCGTATTTTATCAATAATGTCTGGACATTTGAATGATGCGGGCCTCGCGTGTGCCAGGCTCCCCCGGGGCCGCTCGCTTGCAAACGGCCGCACTTGAATCGAGGCTCGGCGACGCTCGCGACATTAAAGCCCACCTACGAGCCCAATCGCCGCTTTCTATTATTACGCAATCGCAATGCGTTGGCAGTTGGTGCGGAAAAGGCCCCGGCGGAGCCTCGCGCCCGCGCGGCACTCGCCACTACGCGCACATCAGTCGCCATATTATATTTTACAGAATATTTATATATACATACATATATTGTTCCGTTATCGCAAGTGTACCGGCGCAGAGATCGACTGTGTGATTTCGCGTATCTCGAGCGGGGAGGTGAGCGCGTGTCCGGCAGCCTGTTCGCGCTTTCTCAGCCTCGCGTGAGAAAGCGCCGAGAGGACAATTGGAGCGATCGGCTTATCGCGTATGCTTACGTATTGCCGAGCGCAAAATTTCGCGGGCAACGTCACAGAAGCGCGGGCCGAACGAGCCTGACCATCCAGCCATGCGACACACTTTTCCTTATCCATTACCTTTGCCCATCATCCTTTATCCTAAACCCTAAACCTTTTTACAACTTCGCGTTTTGTTTCAAGAGCCCAGCATACAAACACTTATCAAACTTACTGTGTAATCGAGCATTCCAAGTAAATGAGGGAGAAGAGACGATGGAGGTTTTCAAAGCGATTTTATATGTGTACTGACGAAAATGCGATTGTGAAAGAGAAGCAGAAAGCTAGAAAAACAGAAAGAGAGTGAGAGTGAGAGTGAGAGAGTGAGAATGAGAGAGAATGAACGGCCACGGGAGTGTGGGTGATGGGGGGGGGGAGGCATAGTAGGTAACAGAAAGAGAGAGAGAGAGAGAGAGAGAGCGATTGACAATTTAGGATGAGGCGGTGGAGGAGGAGGAGGAGGAGGAGGGGGGAGCAGAGTACGTGAATGGATGACAGAGTGAGAAAGAGAGTGTGCGAGAGAAAATAGAACTAAAAAGTTCTGATCATATATAATCGTAAACGACGTGCATCGCATCTTTTTAGGCTATTAATATTACAATTACACGATATTAAAATTAATTAATATATAATTATATATTAATGAATAAGTGTTTATTCGCATTTTTAACATAAGGAATTATTATTATAAAAATTCAATAATAGTTGTTGGTGTAATATTATGAAATAAATCTTTAACGATATCAAATGTGCTTTTTACTTTTTTCCCATATAATATCACAACAAGATTATATATACATATGCATTTATAAAATAATAAATAAGAATAAAACAAAATTAACGTAAAAACTTAATTCTTTTTTTTCTTTCTTTCTTTTTTTTTTCTTTTTTTTTTTTTTTTTTTTTTTTATTCGGTGCATATAGCTACTATTTACGTTTTAACGCTGCTCAAATATATCATTCTTTAAGCTACTTAAGTCTTTTTTCACGGTTTTCTTTCTAGATTTATATTTACTAGTCAATTCAGGTGAAGAGGTCGGGAAATTCGGTGGTCGTCTGAATAATTTTCTCGACTCGTAATTATAATGGTGGTCATTATCAAAATATCCGTGTGGCGGGAGTTTGTCACTATTTGCAGAATGTGGCATCTTAACTTCAAAATTTATTGGTTTGATTGGCTGCTTATTCCTTAACTTAATAGCTTCATTCATAGGCATTAAAGATTTAGTTGGATCCTGTACTTTTTTTTTCATCGAACGTGGGGGTTCATCAATTTTTGACGTATCAATCAATATTGTATCAGGAGCAAACGTGTCATTATCTTCATCTGGTGGAGCTCGGCGACGTTTTCTTATTAGATTTTTCATCACTCCATTCATTGAAGTTGTTTGATTAACCATTTTATTAATTCCAGTTAGCGTTTTATTCATCACATCGGTTATATTAATTATAGGGTCAGTAACTCCTTCATCGTTAGAAAAATTAGATTCAATTGTTGTTGTAATATTCTAAAAGAAATTCTTATTATATATAGTCTGTACATTATATATTTTGTATCATCAATGAATGTTGAAAAAAAGAAAAATAATAATAATAATAAATAAATAAAAAGAAAAAAAAAAGAAAAAGAAAAAAAAACAGATATATGAAAATGTTCGTTACTAATTGTTAAGGTGAAGAATAAAAGTAGCATTTTAAATTGGACACTTAAATAACGTAATTAAACACGAAAATAAAAACAATGGAAACTCATTATGGGAAATAGACTATTTGATAACTTACCTCACATTGTACTTGTATAAACCAGACAAAAAGTGTAATAAGTATTTTATTCATATTATACTTTTATATTTAACCTTATTACAGATAAGATGTTTTATTTAATAAAAGAACATCAATGATTTCATAATACGTATAAGCAATATATTTAATTTTATATAATAATATTGGCACTCACGTATTTATAAAAATAATTAAAAACAGAAAATGCATATATTCAATCGCTGACGAACGAGAAAGGAATAACAGTCTCTCACTAAAAGTAGTATTGTTGCAAAGAAACTAAATGTTTACGAGCGCTTTGATTTATTTGAGTCATGAAGTTGCTATACAATAGCAAGTTGTTAATTGATTTTGAACGCTATATATGTTTATGTATCAGTCAATTCATAGAAAGAGAAATAAGTTTATACTCGACTTCATTGATTCGGCATATTTTAATTTTACTATTATTTTTTCATTAGAAGAGCCTTACGATTTAAAGTAAAATATAAAATCACTATAGACGATCATCATCTGCCTTTTAAATAAAATAGTTAAAAATATATCAAATTACATTGTTTTCAAATAATATTTCTCATTTTATTATTATTGCATATTTGTCATAATAAATATTAAAATGCACTGGCTTTTAATGGCCAATAATTAACTTCACGTTAATAGATAATATTAAGTCGGTAACGCGAACATCTAATTGATATTCAAATTCAAGGGCAAAAACAGTTAACTGCTATCGATAATGTAGAACAACAATGATAAAACACAACCATTTTTTTCTTACCGTTAGAACACTGTCATAGTTTCACGCATGCGTATTAAAAAGACACGTGCGCTGGAATCACTTCAAAACTTTCAAGATGTTATATCACAATTTTATTGCCTTTTTCTCTCTCATATAATCATCGTAGTGTTTCATATATATTGTGTTACATGCGGTGAAAAATAATAATTAATGATAAAGTGCCTTAGATATTTCAATAAGAACTGAAACTCAGGTGAGCAGAATTTTCCGTGTTTCTTTAACGTATATAGTAATTCGAGGTTATGTTGTAAATATTTAAGATTGATTGTTTATGATTTTGTGTCTTAAACCGACAATTTAATTGCCGAAAGTAATTGCAAATTTAATCAGTACGATGATTTATTATTATAATATAAAGTACATCATAAATATACAAAAATGTTTTTTGCATTTTGTTTACAAAATATATCTAAAAGATTTTATGCTACTTATAGATGGCGTACAGTATACATTTTTCCATTAATAAAATAATTATGTTAATTTTAAAACGAATGAAGCGTACTTTCACTGATCATTGTTTAATCGAGAACAATATTTTAGTTTTATAAAAAACTTTATCATTTAGTAAGAAATTACGATCTATATAAATTTAATTTATTCGAAATTATATTGTTTTACCAAATGTACAAGTTTATTTTATTCATGAGCATTAATAACTACATTTTTACTAGTCTTATTATTTCATTTCTTCTGTTTCTCCGTCTCTTTAATAAAAAATTCGAATACATTAAATATATATCTCAATTGATCCGTGAATATTTTCATTAATTTTTCATCACTATCAAAACATACAAGATAATGTAATCTGCAGTTTAGTGGTCTTTACAACAGCTGATAATACAGTTATCTTGCTTGCCTTCTGCTTCGCAATTGCAATTTGAAAAGATTTGAATGAAAATGTCTTATCATAAAATATTAATGTAGAGATTTTAAATTGAATATGCAGTGCTCATAATTTTGTGCATTATGTAACATTTGTCGAAATCTCTACATAAAGATTATAAATCATCGTCTTTTACCTTAAGATCTTAAAGTACCAGATTCTAAAGTAAGTAATGAAATGTTTTTGCTAAATCAATTAATTTCTTATTTTCTGGGGTATTTCATTGAATGATTTGAAAACAAATAGCCTAGTGAAATATGTGCACAAAATTTGCCATTCATTTTACCCGATGAGAATAAACACTCATAAATTAAACTTGCAGTCGAAAATTAGAAAAATTTAATTACCAAAGTTCATTCACACTCTGCGAAATGGAATTTCATTTATTTTGATATTAGCAAAGTCTTTTTTACTATGAATTATTTAATAATGTGGAATGCATTTGATTTATTTTAATTTAGTCTAACGTTAAAAAAATTTTTTTCTTAAAAATATTGATTACGTAATTATATTTTTCAGAAGTTCATCGACTAATTTCTCTAAATATTTAGAATTTAAAACACTTGAAATTAAGTTCGGAAATACTTAAAATTATATATTCGACTTTTTATATTTTAATAAATTATCGAAGTTTGTAAACGAAAAAATAATAATTTTAAAAAATAGATGAAAAACTTTATCTATTTTACTATTTTAGCAGAAGTAATGATTTATTTTATTAAATTTTTTCAACGGTGAATGTATTTCCCATGAAATTTGAAATATTCAATAAATATGTACTTTGATTGAATAAATTATATCATATAACATTGAATTATATAAGTACATTTCTAAATATTTTTTATTAAGAATAAATAAATAAATAAAGGAATGTGACTGCTGAAGATCCAATTCTGATTGCACAGATGTTTAAATTTTTCACATTTTTAAACACGTGCGATTTATATATTTACCGATCAAATTTGCCTAATTTTATTGTAATATTCGTTAATCTTGAATATACTTGTTAAAATTAATTTTTTGGCTCGTTTAGTTTTTAAATAAAGTTTCTTTTTATATTAAATTTAACAGTAGAATAGTAGAATACTTTTATGATTTTGAATTATTCGTTATTTAATTGATTAATAACGAGATAATTTTCACTGTTACTAATTTAATGGCAGTCCTAATTATAATATACAGCGATAGTAAAAAATGCATTATTAACAAGGAAAATTAACATGAAATTTCATACGAATTTGCATGAATAAATTGTTTTTATATTATTAATTGTATATATTAATAATTAATTTTTTCATACAGATCAATATTATCTTAGGCATGCTACAAGAATATTACGATTTGTCTAATCGCTTCCGTTTTTAAATTTTTTCATAGGAATCGGGATAATATAATTAATAAAAACAATCAAATTAATAATAAAATAATATAATTAACAATTTTTATATGATGTATTTTATAATAATACGTGAGGGACGTAATAAAAATATTACAAAATTTAATGTAACTTAAGTAAATAAATAGACTTAAATTTTTCGCAGAGCAACTTAAATGTTACAAGATACTTAAAAATAAAAATAATTTATTAACGAAGGGTGCATGTGGCCAGTTTTTATTTAGATTACATTATTCCCTCAAGATTCTTTTGAAACTTCCTCATACCCCTTACGTTTTCATTCGTCTCATTCGCTCATACTTTTACTCCTCAACACTCATTCAAAATAAAGTCTTAAGGTTGCCATTTCGCACCCCGTGTCTATATAAAATAAATATAAATATTTTTGTATACTATATGTATTTTTAATTAATTGCCATCTTAGTAGTATCACCGCATACGTACGGTATATTATTATTATACCGTTATCGCTTTGATTAAATGACCCTTTACATTAAATACTGAAGTTTCTTTTAATAGTTAAGCTTAGTCTTTGCCCGTTTGAATGCCCGTGCACCCTTCACACTTAACATTCTATGCAATAAATACAAATTCTTACAAAGTTCGAAATATTAAATAGGCTTGCAATAATTGTTATTGAGAAACATGCTGTTCGAATAGTATATGCATTATCTATTCGTAGGTCATTAAGTCTTTTGAGAAGTCTGAATTGATTTTGAAGCTGTCACTCATATACACGAAGTTTCATTTCAATAGGTACATTTGATCATTTTAAATAAGGCTTGAAAAAGATTATACCTTATTTAAAATTAAACAATGATTTTGATTTTTAATGTGAATTTCATTTAAATGTAAATTTGAGTGATCCATAGCTTATTATTAATATTGTTGTTGTGGCTATTATTATTATTATTATTATTATTATTATTATTATTATTATTATCATTATCATTATCATTATCAATATTATTATTATCGTTGTTGTTGTTGTTGTTGTTGTTGTTGTTGTTGTTGTTGTTGTCGTCGTCGTTGTTGTAGTCATTATTATTATTATTATTATTGGTTTGTGTGTGTGTGTGTGTGTGCGTGTGCGTGCGCGCAGGCGCGTACGTGCGCCTATACACGTATGTAAAAATATATCAATATTTTTATATTTCGTTGATAGGAGAAGTATTTTATTTTTTGACCTTGGAAGCATTTCTTATTCAGAAAAATAATAATAAAACGCTTTTAGTAATTTAAATGAACATTTGTTGTTCCACGGCCAATTTATTATCAATCATTATGACTTTAGCTATTGAAAGGGAAATAACATTGAATTGAAACTCTTATATAAAAACTGAGAAAACTCGAGTCATGTAAAGCGCATCAGTTTCAAGGAAGCAAGAAATAAAATTTTGGAAATAAATATCATATGTTATCATAAGTTTTATAATGATAACGAAAGTAATGTTTCCAAGTTCAAGTGGACAATAAAATACCTAACGCTGACATTACGTTAAGTGCGCGTACTCAATTATATTTTGAATTTTAATATTTTATGATTGCCATTGATGTTTCAATTTTGGACCATTTCAATAATCATATCATTTTTCGCCGGATTAACATAAAAAAAATGTTATCACATACTTTCCATTGTATATATATATATATATATATATATATATATATATATATATATATATATATGTATTAGATCATTTATTTTGCATTGATTGTTGGCTATGAATCGATCATTGAAGCTATGGATCGATATTAGTCTGCATAATATTTTGTTTTTCAATTCGTAGCTATTACAAATTAAATTTTTGTATGCAGTAAACGTAAATAATTGTGGTATTCATAATTAAATTAGTTAGCAGAAGAATATCAAATATCGAAGACGGTAGTAGTGATGTCATTTATTATAATTTTTACTCTATACTATTTCCTAGAATATTTTCATTTTCAATAGAATAGGGTGCGCATAAATTACACTATTTTGTCTGCCCATATGGTGTAAAGTTTCTTGCAAATGGTCGGAAAAGAGCTCTTCATGTGTTGAGTGACAAGTTTCATCTTACATTTGTCGTTTTCGGCCCATATTACAGATTTTAAAATGACAAAGAGCCATATCTGAAAAAAAGCAAATATTTCACACTTATTATTGTATTATAAGTATAAGTTATTTTTTATCTACATATATATAGAATATTTAATACTAATCAGACAAATTCGAATATCAAAATATCAAGCAATAATCTTAAGTAAGATTTTAATACTAATGAGGGTTAATGTTACAATTGACGTACATTTACAAAATCTAGTATAGAAAGTCATTTCTTCTACTCTTATCTGCTTAATTTAACATTTTCAGAATAATTTTCTATAAAAAAAGATTAAAACTAATTAAATCATAACGTTACTTTATTAAAAAACATAATATAATTTTTTCAATAACATTGCTTATTAATTATTGAAAATTCCGTAAATCGTTAATTATAATTTTTTCGTGTGTTTCACATAAACAAATGTAAATCTGTGCATAAACAAAAAATAACACAATTATATTGCTGATATTGAAATAGATAGGTAAATGCACAGTAATCATTCGTTTTTAACTTGTCAAATAACTTAACGCCTATCATCGTTATAGAAATGTAAACAAAATCAATAGTAAAAATTGAATTCTCAAACGATATATCCATTGATTACAAATAGGCTAATCCGATTAAGATGTTTCATTCTATCGAAGAAATATGCAATTTTTCATGTATTTCCAATTTAAAAGAGTCGTATGAATAGTCAGTAATGACGTCAGGTGTCGGTAAATTGAAGTGGTTAAACTAGAGACGTTTGTCATGTTTATAAATTTTTATTACTTGTTCAATTGTCACTGTACTAATGACTTTCAGATTCATATTTTTTTTTTAATTTTTCATATTTTTTTTATAGAATATGAAAATGATTATGCAAAATATGTATGTTTCAATGAAACTTTATCTCCTTTATATATATATATATATATATATATATATATATATATATAAATCTTTATCTTAGATGAAATTTTAATGGAATCGTTCAATTTTATGTAATATTTTTATCAAATTCTAATCACTAATGGCACAAAATATAAATACATAAATAGGACATTTATTCAGAATTAAAACATTTCATGAAATTTACGATATTAATTGCAGTAGAACATAATATACTATTCTATTCATTTTTATAACTTGTATTTATTATATTAGTCGTAAAATTGATTATTTAGATGAAATTTATGGTTCAAATGAATTTTTGTTATATTGTGTGATGTTATGAAAAAGTATTATCATTTCACAGTGGTATTATAATAATGTCATCGATATTTCTAAAAGTTACTATTTAGAACAACTTAATAAATATTATGAATAATATTTTTCAAAATAAAAAACATTGAGATCTAATTGTCTCTAATATGCATCAACCTCAATTGAAAGATTAGAGTATAACAGAAATAAACGTAAATTGTCACGAAGGTAATTATTAGGGCTTTTGTGCTCGTAATAAAGTCTATAGTTTTACACTTGTTTATATCAAATTTTGAAATTTACTTGCAGTATTTTAGAGCACATAGGAGATATAAGTGCATACATACTTTTAAAAATGTGTTCTTATAAATAATTTTGTCTGCATGTTTGATAATAAAAAACAAATGTTTCACATTACGTGTCATCTCTATTACAATAAATATTACAAACAGTTGCAGTATTGTCCTGCTTTTTGTTCTCTGTTTTCTTTTTGTTTTGTTCGTATATTATGATTTTATATTTATATAAGTTATGCCATAAGCCCCAGAGCGCCGTTCACAAAACAAACTTTACAAAACTTTATTATCATGAATTTATAAGAAATCAAATTCTAACTATATTTTATATAGGATAATGTATTTGGAATAGTTGTTTTATTTAGCTACAGAAGTATCTTTTTGTTTTACGAATTTTGGGCTTTATATGGGCATATAATCGTGTAAAAAAGTTAATACTTTAGTTAGTCCGAAAGAACTTAGATATTCATCTACTAGTATATTACATGTAATTTGAAATAAATTTAAATGTATTAATATCACGTTTTTTTTTCGTTGCGTTTTTGGATTCTAAAACAAGAATCAATTCAATGTTATTGGGATTTTTTTTTTCATAGTAATATTGTTAAAACATACAAATTGCTAATACTAATCACCAATAACAGTAAATGATTAATTTAAACTGACAATGAAATATCTGCTTCTAATATGTATGTATTAAAGTGTTTAATTATTGATATACAAATGATAATATAAATTTATAAATAAACTGCGAGGGTTTTATATCAAATGCAATCTTATATTTATACCGATGTAGCGAAGCTCCTGTTGTTAATTTTTTGTTCAGAGAAAAAAATAATTTTTTCAACTAAGCGAAACAAGCGCTGCGACAGGCTAATATTAAGCTACTTATATAAACGTGACTATAAATAATAAATAAATTTGCTTGTTGTTGTAAGTAAAAATCTTCGATGCAATAAAAAAAACTGTATTTTCATATATTTCAAATGATATTATGAAATTTATATTATATTTATAAAGAATATTGGCAGTTGTATGAATGAAAAGGGTGAAAATTTTTTAAAAACCGAATGATAGAAAGTGTAACAAAATCTAACTGATTACATCATTTTTTAGTATTATACCAATGTGAAAATACTCGCACTTTCCGACTCTTATCGAAGTGAAAGAGGGCGAGAGCACTCTGTATACCCTCGACGTCCTTTGGGAATTAGCTATTGCTAAATCATTCGCCGCATATACTTCGCGCGGAGATGCTGCATTACCAATAAAAGTTGTTACTCCGCTGGGAGCTCGAAACCCATAACCCCATGATTATATTTCAGCACCAACTCAAAATGGAACTAATAGACATTCAATGACGCACGTGCGTTGATGCTCGAAGCCCTCATAGAAGTGTGAAAAACCCTCGCTTATATCAATGTTTTTATCAGGGGCCTCCCAACTTATATGTAACTGCCATATTACATTGATTTCTTCAGGAACTTTTAATCACTCTAATCACTCTAATCACTGCAGTAAAGAGCTAACTTTTTTTACATTCACGATTTCGAGCAATTATTTGAAAGAATGCGATTATCAGCATTAAGCCTTATCACGCATTTCCAGGAACCTCTTTCTTTATTTTATGACACCTGAATTTTTCTAATCTATTTATCATTTTCTTATCGTCTGTGCAAGCCTTAATAATTAATCTATTTAAAAATATTCGTTCATGCGGATTTAAGAAGCTGTCATCCGGGCCTTATGCACTCACGTAAATGGAAACGTTCACACAAAATTTACATAAATTACTTACAGCTGGTTCGTTTACCCGAATGCATGGGTCCGGTATGATAAATTGCAGCTGGCACAGGAAGTGCTTCGATCGCTTCCATCAAGAAATCTTGTTGTTGTTGTTGCTGTTGTTGTTGTTGTTGTTGCTGCTGCTGCTGCTGCTGCTGTTGCTGTTGCTGTTGTTGTTGCCGTTGTTGTTGCCGTTGTTGCTGTTCATGCTCGTTTTGACTCCTTGCCTTTGCATTAATGAGCGCTTGGATCTCCATTTGCTCTTCCGCTAGCTCCGCTATTTCTTTCTCGATGTTTTCCTCTTTCCGCTCTACTCGCAGCTTCAGCCTATCGACCAGCGTCTGCGCAGATACGATTGTCTCGTTTTGAAATAAAAAAATTCCCTCATTTATTCCTCACAATTTGCGATTAGGCTTTGTCTTATTAACGGCCTCGCGATAATGAGGGGGAGACTATTTTATTAAATCAAATTCAATTGATTGCCAAATGTCTGCGCTATACTTTGGCGAATGCAATGCTTTGGCTATCAAATTAGATATTCGTACCAATGAACTTATGCACTAATCGCAAAACCTTGAAATTCAACTACGATTCACGGCTCTAAGTAACATTGATAACCGGTCAATCGCGACTGACTTACGTAAGTGCCCAACCTACCTGACTTGGTATGTCTAGGCCGTAATCCTCTCGGTACATCATTTCTGGTGGTATTGGCTGCGGGGCAGCGATTACTGGATTGTTGGCACATATGCAGAGTAGCAAAAGCACCAGGAAATACACACCTGTGCTTGTTTTATAAGCGCTTGCCGTCATTACCTCGAAGCTTATCAACTCTGAAAAAATAATAGGAGATATTAAGCGTAAGGGGTCGTCCAGGGATGCTCTATAGAAATTGAGGAATTAGGCTTGATAGTTTCATAATTTCCCGGAATACTGGCAAGTATTATTACGAACATGGAAATGAGCGAGATGAATGTGGTGCCGTTAGCAGGGTAATCTTAATTTATCGCGAGTACAAAAATTTCGTCTTTATTTCAACGACACGATATGATAATAATATGTATTTGTATATAAACTTGAGCTTTTTATGAATTCATATTTTTATATTTCATGCCTTGTAGATAGCTGTTGTTGTAACAAGACGCTTCTTCAAAATATATTTACCGAAGATTATCCCGAAGAAACCTGATATATAAATTACATAATCCTATATAAGACGTGGCCTCTTTGTACTGAACTTGGCGGCGTAGCGATCACTGCATGCGTTATCATATAGTTTAATTTCTCTATTGATCTCTTGATTTATTCGATATTGAGTTGTTATTGAGAATATTTTGAATGTCGAATATAATTGCGATAATTGCACGATGTGATCAAAAAGTTTAACTTGTAAAAAATGTAACTGACTATTAGTGCGTACAGTGTATACGTTTTGCTTTGCACTTGTTGCGTCATTGCATCTCTACCATACCAATCCCCAAAATTCTTTCTAAATTTTACACTTCATACAAGCAATGAAACTCTCTCTCTCTCTCTCTCTCTCTCTATATATATATATATATATATATATATATATATATATTACCATTTTCCATTGATCTTAACTGAATTTTATGTCCGACATTTTTACTATCTTGCTAATACTATAAAACTGAAATAATAATGGCTTACTCTTAAATTTCTAATCTTAACACATCATGGGAAATTAAATGTGGCTATATTCTTCGTACTCAATTGCTTTATTTTCCAGATATTTTATGTTTGTTTACATAGTATTAATATTTAAAGTTTCATCGTATCATAAATTAAATACAAAGGCTTACAACAAGTCAATCGACGATTCTCATACAAAAAGTATTATACTATTCATTCATTAATTAATTACAGAAACAAAAAATTAATTTTTAAGTAGCTTGTAAAATCTTTTGACTCGTGTAAATGTATAATTATGAATATTATATCAATTTTATTAAAAATACAACACTACAAGTTGAGTGTAAATATAATTGAGTCCATTAGATCCACAAGGGACAATGCAAATTCTATATTTCCGTAATGCCTCGTATCATTCTTTAATTTATTTTTATAGCTATTCCAAGCCATTTTGAGAAATTAATTTTACACATACGTGCCTTATAATACCAATTACTTTAAAAATAATATTAATTTCAAATTAGTAATTCTAGGAGTTTTTATAACTACTTTTCAGATACTATTAATATATTTTATATTTTTTACAATATAATAATTGTCGAAATAATTCATTTGTTTTGATGATTAATTCTTATGATATATTATCGATGTAGTACTGTCTCTTATACGTACTTTTTACATTTCATAAAAATTTGTATTGTACATTATTTATTCATTATCGAATTAGATGTATTTTGATTGTCGAAAAAAAAAAAATAATATTTCAATTCGTGGTACTGTATTTTCTTTAAGTTTATAGTTATATTATTAAACTCATAATATACAAGTACCGTTCTTGATATGTATTAATCCTTAAATAGTACTTTTAATCTACGTATTAACTTTAATAATACGTGAGTATATTTGAAGAAGCCGAAAGATAGAATCTAGAAAATTTGAAGTAACAACACGTTTATTCTTGTGAGGATTAAAGAAAACGAGAAAGTTTTAAGATTGTTTTAGCGAATAATATATATATATATATATATATA